TATGCTGTCTGCAGAGGCAATATAATAAATACTTAATTAATAAAGAGACTAAATAGAAATAGAACATCACTATGAGGGCAACTTTTGCTCCCAAACACTACATATAGGGGGATTTATTTATTTTTTTTTATCACTTTTTAATTAGCATTTGTTAATTTATGGTCCTGCTGCGTACATAATAAATCTCAATGGGAAACAAATAGCCAGAGATTTCATTTAAATTATTTGAATTCATCATAAAACAGGCCATACGAGGCAGATATGCGTAATAATCAAGAAACTTTACTGCCATACCATGAGTGCAGCAGGCGTAAGATGTGACGCAGCGCCTGAAAAAAGGCTAATACTGAGCTGGGGACTATTTTCAGGCGCTGCGTCATATCTTTACGCCTGCTGCACTCATGGTATGGCTGTAAAGTAAATTTACATTTTCCGTCCAGTCTTAGTGCACGATGTAACTACAGAGTCAAGATATAAACAGGAAAAGCCGCCATTGTGGCAGAACTTCACCTGCTGTTAGCATTCCATTGACTCCCATTCATTTTGGCTTCAGTTGGCTTCGAAAAATTTACATCTGAGGCATCCAATGACTCCTTTTGTCCATTATTTATTTCTAAATAAACACGACAATGTATAAAAGCCTCCGTTACCTTGAATCTTATGTTATAGCCCCATAGAAGCAGTTAAAAAAAAAAAAAAAATGGCTAACGTTTGTGTCATAACGCATCGGCACCCAGTTTGCGCGTCTAAATTGCAAAGTTCATTGTAAAGTTTTTTTTTGTTGTTGTTGTTGTTGTTGTTTTTTTAAGATTTTGTTTACTGTGTGGAAAGCACATTCACTTCTAGTTGTCTTGCTGTTAATTTAAAATAAACATACAGTAAGTAGCTAACCAGTGTCTGCTCATTTATTTAAGTTGTTCTGTAACAGATGAACGTCGCTCTGCATATGTCATCTCCTTCATCACTCTGATTGGTTTTAGGTCTATCCAATTGCACCCAGAGGCATTTGAGCTACGTCCGTTGGTGACGCCCCTTTGGAAATGATTTGTCTATGAAGCTTATGAAACTCAGTTACAACTGAGAATAGTGTGGTTTTAACCAGTGTAAGACGTGGCAAATTTAATTCAAATTCCAACTCATTAACTAAGCAGGAGTTAATTATTCAATTCTGAAATTTGCCCAACACTATCAAACCGTGCAGCATTAAAGCCATGGTCACACTAGACTTTGAGCATGCACAATTTCTACTCCACTTTACAGTAATTCTGCAATCCTGCATATTTGAAGAGTGTGCTCTTTTAATTCAGCTAAAAGGTCACGCTGTTCTATTGGTTACATGTCTTCAAGTGATACAAAATAATTGCATGTCAGGGTTCACCATACTTGAATTTGGAAAGCAGTGAAATCCGAGCTTGAGTTTGTGTTATGTAGTATAAATATGAATGGAAGTCGATGGAATGCAACTTGTAGTGTGACCGCTCCTTTACCCGGCCATATCCAACAGTCAAGTCCAGTGGAAAATCTGAGAAAATCCACCAAACTTTCAGTATTTCTTTGCTGCCTGTTACTAATACAGGGGAAATGTGCATGTTTGTTCTTTTCTCTGTTTTCCTTTGCACAGAAAAGCTGTGATGTGCTGTAGTCCATGAGAAGAAAGTGAGGGAGAGAATATTTACTTCTGCTGGCTTTAGGGATGGTTGCTTCTGCTCTGATCTTACAGCTAGTTTGTGTCAGGTAGCTCTTTTTATACATACAAAAAAAAAAAAAAAAACATAAACACTCTGCCTTGCATACCCTGGAGTGAAAAAAATCCTTGACAAGCAAAGAGGATTCACTGAAAACACTAAAAAACACATGGGGCTCCAGAAATCCCCGTGGCTGCATTGAGATAGAGCAGTAATTGATGGAGGTCCCAGCCCCAGAATGCAACCTGCTGTCTTCTGAAACGTGATGGTGAAACTGAGCTTCTACTGAGGGAAAAAAAAAAAAAAAAAAAAAAAAAAAACATAGGTCTGTGGGATTGGTGTAATGTTCTGTGTAATTGTGAATGAATTTTCTGATGTACCTTGCACATGAAACAACTAAATCAGGGGCTTAAACTGTCAATCCAAATCGTGTATGTCCACATTTTTTTTTAAGTCTCTTATGCTCAACAAGTCTGCATTTATTTGACCAAAATACAGTAAAAACAGTAGACTAACATTGAAAATTATTACAGTTTAAAATAACAGTTTTCTATTTTTATTTATTTATTTGATATCAAAACTGAATTTTCAGCAGCTATTACTCCAGTCTTCAGTGTCGCAGAAATCTTCCGATATCATTCTAATATGTAGATTTGGTGCTTAAGTTACCTTGTCCCTTAATGTCGATGTTGAAGATGGACACTTTATATAATACCTAAATATATTTATGGTCACTTTTGATGAATTTAATGTGTCTTTTCTAAATAAAATCTTACTAAAAGTAAACTGATTCATTGCACTGAATCATCATCGTCTTCTCTCAGACACAAGTTTGACCTTGGGTTGGTGGACCACTAGCTAAACTAGTACCAAACTACCACTAACCAATCAGGACCAATGTGGAAAATGATGTATACATAATCACAAAAGGCTTTCAAAACAGGCAACTGTACCTTTTGGGAGGTTGGTGTAACACTTTTGGTCTCGTTGAGTCTAAAATGGGGTCTAATAGGTCTTATGGAATCTAAGTACTACTTTCTTTTCAAAAAACAAAGGCAAGGTACAAGAGTCTATAGCTTGGAACCCTCTAAAATCCCAGAAAACATGCACACCAATTGACAAGAACTGACAAATAAAAATGTTAAATAAGAAAGCTTAAATATACAAGGAACTGATTAACTGAAAGAAAATGCCATGAAACAAACAAAAGGCAAGAAACCTGGCACAAAACAAAAGAGCTTCAGTTGCTATCAGGGTGGGCAGTAACGAACACCAAATTTTAGAGTTCGTCCAATTTAATCTCAGCATATAGAACACTCTAAGAAAAAAAAATAATTAAAAGAAATCTAGTCCCAAAAGCCCGTTGGTGTGTCAATAAATGCCATCAAGGTAATAAATGAAAAGCAATTGTAATGTATGTTTACTAGCAACTTACTAACAATGAGGAAATTGTCAAGTGTTTTTCTTATTCAAATGTGTTCTTTCATGTAAATGAGCATATGACAAATTGCATATTAAGGATTGGAGGCCAAAGCTGTAGGAGTTTAGCCTGGGTTTCCCCATACTGCCTTGCCCCACCATGATTTTTTTTTTTCCACGCCGTAAGGTAGTACGGATACCATGGACCAAATTTTCGCCTCATCTAGGGAACCAATCACAGAACGGGGAGGGAGCAGCAAGACGATGACGACGTCTATGTGACACACTGAAGCAGTTTGTTTATAGACCTTATGCACCAGAGAAATGTGGGCGCCATATTCTTTAGAATATTGTCTTTGAACTTCCGGTTTCACGGTCACTCTGTATATTTCTATGGCATCGCTGTCCAGGAGTAATTAGCTGGTGAAGTGGATTTACTTATTGTAGAGTTAACAAAAGTTATCATGAGCATTGTAATGTTTATCATAAGCATTTTAAAGCAGATGTCTTAACAAATGTCGACCGGGAAATTATTTATGAGCAGTTCATTCATACCTATGCAAGATCACTGTGGAAATGCAGACCGGAAGTCAAAAGACAACGAGCGCAGCACTGAAAAGGGGCGGGGCTACATAAGGTCTATAGCCTATCTATGGATCCAACATGGAAGCAGACACGAAGTTACCTTTCAATGCAGCCTTACGGCCGTTTCACACCGCAAGCGTGAACTGCACTTGAGCAGCGCATCAGTGTAACTACATCATCACTGCAGCTGTAGACGCGCGAGACTATTCACACTGGAAGCGTTTGTACAGTGTCACAGCAGTGGCTCCAAAGCTACATATATAAGCGAGCAATTCTTTACAAAGACAACTTTACATTTGTTTTAGAAGCTGGTCATTTATAACATTGATAGTCTTGAAAGTAATGGGGAGATGTACAACATTCGCATATAAATGTTAAACAACAAAACAACCCAGAAAATGTCTCTAATCTATAAGTTTCAGTCATACTTTCGATATGTTTACAAGACTGCAACTCAACAAAACACACAAATAAACCACACACTCGGGTTTGATTTAGGTTGTGCTAGCCAGCTGTCTCTGTGTTACATAAACTAAAAGAACAACTAAAAGAATATATAATATTGTCTGGCAAGTTTATTTTAGGTTTTATATATATATATATATATATATATATATATATATAAAATGCACAACTTTCACCCAAACTGAATAATTAATTTTTATTTATTTATTATTATTTTTTTTTTTACCGGTAGCCTAAATCATCTATAAATATTTTTGAGTCTTTATTTTCTTTTATTTGCCACTTAATGTGTGAAACCATATTTGTTTTTGTCCATCAAAAGTGTGCTTTCACTTTAATTGACCGTTAGCAGTGCAGCAAAAACAGATTCAACGTCGAAACCCCCGCTTCACTGTTGCTCATGTGCTGCTCCTGCTCCCGGTGTGAATGCACTTAAAGTGAAAGTGAAAAAGCCATTAGATACACGCCATCTTGTACACATAAATGTCGGACCCATCGTCTTCTTCCTCGTCTAATTTCTGTTGATCTACATACGTCATCTGGTATTATTGAAACGATTGACTATGAGCTACGTACAGGCGCATTTGATAGACATTCTTAGCACCCAATAAACGGCTCTGGGCATTCGTAAACCATGCCTCAAAAATGAGAATATGAACATGTGGTTCAATGAGACTTGGGTCTGACGTTAGCCAGGCTAGTAGGAGTTCTAAACATGAAACATTTGTGGTTGCTTAAACAATAAATAAAGAGAGAATATGAAACATGAGCTATTAATAAAACGGGCCATTGTGAAATGAGAATCCGTGAACTCGGGAAACATGTCCATGACATAGTATAAAAATGTCACTCACCCACAGTGAGTTGTCCTGTCAGCTGGCCAAGGTTATTTCGTGCATTCACTGTCACATTGCGGTCTGACTGTAAGACCAGGGGACTGTCCTGAAACACACAGTGAAGAAAGAAACTGGTTATATGATCTGGCATAATTTTTTTAAAAATTACATGAAATAAAGCAATACGACAGTAACAGAAACAAGGAAAAGGAAACTGATTTTGCAACATTGCATCTCATTCACAACATTGCATTTTGGTTTTTGTTAAGGATGTTGTACATGATTCTAGACCATTGACAGCTAAAATATGAAAAAGTAAAACAAATAAAACACTTTACAAACATGAAAATACATAGTTTTTAATGTATTCTATACTTTTTTTTCTTTAAACAGCCTTAAAATGTTATCATTTTCATGATGTAAAGCAAACTGAGAATTTTTATGTTTTAAATAAACATCTGAATAAGATTTGGGTCAGTTTTAACCCGAATTCCTATATAACATTTTCTAAAACAGATATTGTTTCTAGAATGTTTTTTTTTTTCTTCCTATGGATGAAAAATAATAAAAAACGTTTTCATTATTTTTTATGAATTTTTAATTAGTACTAACATGGTAAAATACAGTAACATTTAAAACTTTGACTCACATTTTTGAGTCAAAAAAGTGAGTGACTGATCAGATGGTTTGTGACTGATCAGATGGTTTTAGTTGAAAAATATGATTTTATAAGCTTGCGTTCGACTGGGTAAAAACTGACTAGGGAATACAAAACTTACATACAGTTTTCTAAAACAATAGAAGGGTTAATTGCTTATAAGTAAAGCAGAATAAAAATAAATAATGAAATTAAATGAAATGAAATAATGAAATGAAATTAGATGCTGGTTGCTGGTTTTCAATCATACTGAATTAACATCATTTGAATACAGAACCATGACGAAAACGACTACACTGGAGCCTCACATTTGATCTGTACCTCTCCCTTTTCTCTGACTATTGTCACTCACTACTGTTTTATGTTATTTGTAAACACTTTCATTTGAAAGATGGCACAATAATTTTGATAACAGGCATATGTTGTACCACGGGAACTGCTAAAATAATCAAAACAACATTCCTGCAATTTTATGAAAATCTTTACGATGGTAAAACATCTTAACATATATCATCTTAAGTACACAGGATAACAACCAAACGGTTGAGCACATTTTGAGTCATTGTAGTTTATTGAGAGGAGTACCTAACTTAAAGGTACAATATGTGGGATTGTTGCAGTAAAATATCCAAAAACCATTAGGCCAATGTTATATATTTTGTTTAGTTTGTTACTTTCAATATCCCCAATGTTTCCCACTTTTTGTAAATCGTGAGAAAAGTGCAATTTTAACCTATAAAACGGGACGCGTGAGCAGAGGTGAGGAGTCGCCATTCAATTGTGTCATATTCACGTTACTCTCGGTTTCCGCTCGTACAGACATAGTAACCATGGCGACAGACATGGACAACTGGTTTATTCTTAGCAGGACGCTCATGCTGTTGTTGTTTGTTCAAACATTATGGACCATGGCAAACAGACTTTGAGGCAAAAAAGAGGACTAAAACGAAGTACAAAATCTTTCAAGAAGCCAAGAGCTCCATGTTCTGCTGTCACACATTAATAAATTTCTGTCCAAATATCCCTTCTGTTACAAAATATGGAACCTTGAGACTCAGACCTTTCTGACAATGTGTTTTGTCAAGACTAAAAAAGGTTTTGATCATAAATTATGTAAGTATGGGTATGAATTCCGGTGACATCTCAACCATTTGGTAGAGGCTGATGTTAAAAAAAATATGGGATATGTTAAAAAAAAAATACATTGAGTGTGGTTACTAGCAACATAAGGAGATGCAATCGAAAAATGTTTCCATCACTTTTTTTCTTGGTGCAGATGAGTTGAGATAAGAGATGATTGACATTTACTGTACATCTGTATTTAATACCGGTACTTGTGATCGGAAAACCTGAAATCGATGTTATCATATTTGTAAATGGATGTGCAGGTAATTTTAATTTTATGTGTTCAATGTGATGTGTGATCTGTCAAGAGACTCAGTGTGTGTGTACACATGAATGCACTCTGGCTGGCAGGGTTGTGTGTTTGTGTGTTCATGCATGCAGAGATGCATGCTGTGGATCACTGGATTCAATGTCTTTTTGTTGTGTGTAACATTGATCCTACTGACCTGCACGTCCCCTTCCATAACAAAGCCCCTGATGTCGCGCGAATCAAACACAAGCACTGTCGTACAGTAGTTCCCTGCATATACGATTCATCTTAACCCCGGTCAGAATCATGAGGGCATGAAATTCTGAAATCAACCCATCATATATAATGTCTGTTTATTATTTAGAGTGCTTTACCTTTATAGAGGGTTTTCACAGACGTCACATTCTGGGCGGTAACCCAGATGCGATATTTTTTTTCCCAGGATGGTAGGGGAAGACTCATCAATATTCATTAGGGAACTCATCCCTGATTGGTCTGATGAACTACCTCTAACCCCGCCCCTAAACCTACCCGTCACTGAGGACTGACGACCTACCCCTAACCCCGCCCCTAAACCTACCCGTCACTGGGGTTAAAGGATTAGTTCACTTTTGAAAAAACTTTTGCTGATAATTTACTCACCCCCATATCATCCAAGATGTCCATGTCTTTCTTTCCTCAGTCGAAAAGAAATTTAGGTTTTTGATGAAAACATTCCAGGATTTTTCTCTATATAATGGACTTCAATGGGAACCGGATGGTTCAAGGTCCAAAAGATATTGTTAATAACAGTTTCAGATGCAGCTTCAAATGTCTTTAAACGACACCAGACGATGAATAAGGGTCTTATCATGCGAAACGATCGGTTATTTCAAAACTTCTTCCAAAAATGCAACTTTTCTAAGAACAAATGCTAGCCTTGCTATATTCTCTGAGGCACGTTTGTAACGTCACGTAATACGTAATTACGTTCAAAAGGTCACGGGCGACGTAGCCGGAAGTACAGAATCAAAATCGTCCGACATCGTTGTTTTTCCTTTTAATTCCTTTTTTTTTGTAAACGGTGTTTGAGTTAGTTTGCACGTTCAACCTATGCGCTCAACTTGTAAACACTGACTCTGTACTTTCGGCTACGTCGCCCGTGACCTTTTGAACGTAATTACGTAATACGTGACGTTGCAAACGCGCCTCACAGAATAGAGCAAGGCTAGCATTTGTCCTTAGAAAAGTTAAATTTTTGGAATAAGTTTTGAAATAACCGATCGTTTCGCATGATAAGACCCTTATTCATCGTCTGATATCGTTTAAAGACATTTGAAGCTGCATCTGAAACAGTTATTAACTGTCTTTTGGACCTTGAACCATCCGGTTCCCATTGAAGTCCATTATATGGAGAAAAATCCTGGAATGTTTTCATCAAAAACCTAAATTTCTTTTCGACTGAGGAAAGAAAGACATGGACATCTTGGATGACATGGGGGTGAGTAAATTATCAGCAAAAGTTTTTTTCAAAAGTGAACTAATCCTTTAAGACCAATCAGGGATGAGTTCCCTAATGAATATGAATGAGTCTTCCCCTACCATCCTGGGGATTCTTCTTCTTCTTCTTGTTGTAAGATTCCGGCAGTGTAGACGCTGCTGAGCGTATTACTGCCCTCCACAGGTCAAAGTTTGAACTAAATTCTTACATACAATCCTGTGTCATGCAAGAATTAAAGAACTGCTTTGGATATCAGTTTATGCTTGTCACTGTGTCCAAACAAAAATGAACAGAAAAACCCTTAACTCCATGTCCTGACAGTTTACTAAAAAGTACATTTCTTTCTACCCTACTTTCAGGAAAACATGTCCTACAGTCTCAAGACTCCCACATTCACAAAAGCCAGAAACATGCTTCCCTACAATGTGCAAAGAATAATTCAACCCACAGTGCCCCAATCTCAATCTGCACATTTTAACTGAATCCCTGCGGGACAAAATGTTACACGAGCATCTTTTCCTAACTTCCGGTTGTATAAAAAAGTAACTTCCTTTTCCCACTCTCTGCCATTCTTTTATTAATCCCTCTTTAATTTTCTCTCTTAATTCCACTCTCCCTAATAATACACAGACTCTATAAGCTGATCTGAGGCTCGATCTCTTTTAAAGCATAAGAATCTGGGTTTGAGAATTCAGCCCTTAGATTAGCTTCAAAGCACAGCGCTCCCTTTTGACATTGATCGACCTGCCAGGCCACCAGATCAATATATTGACAAGTACAGTGAAGGTCCACAAGAGCAAGTTCCCCATTTCTTCGCTTTTTAATTTTCTTTCCCTTTTATGTGTGTATGTTTAGTGTGTGGCCAAATGTCTTCACTTGTGTTTACATAAATGACAAACATGTGGCAACAGAATGGTTTTGATATTAAAGAAGCATCTTAATGTCTTATTCCCGACTAGTTTTATTATCAGGGTAAAAAAAATATATATATATTTAATTTTAATTTATACATTTCATTTATTTTTTATGTCACTGTTGTATACAAGTAATATCAATCAAAATCATAAAATAAGTATATTATTGAACAATAAATCGAGAGATAAGTATGTAGGTTTCAAATATTCTTCAATTAAAGAAAACATTGAAAAAGCTCTGCACTTTTGCGAAAACTCCCTTTATAATACAACAAAAACTAAACTGCATGAATAATAGCTTATTTACGTACATTGTCTACACTTACTGTACATATAATGAGAGGATTTAAATGATGTCAAAAAGGCACAGAAAGAAAAACAAAACAAGTTAAGTAAACATACACAGTACTTATAATCACTTATGTCAGTGACAGAAGCCAACTGTTGTAATATAATGAGTAGTACTTGAACAATAGGAGTTTGGAACTGCAGTATCCGCAATGGCTGTCTCTAACTGTATAATTTGTTCCAGATGATGTCAATCTAATGGAGAAAAAACACAAGGCTATATTCTCTAATTACCTCGGAAACACCCACCTACCCTGCGCTATGTGTGTTATCACCAGCTGTGGCATGCATGTTCAAAAGCTGAGATGGACAGTTTTATTGTTTTTTTGAT